ATGTACTTAACCTACACGCATGTAAATAATTAAAGCGCATATACTGTATTAGAACTGCATCGCATATAATTATTTAATTAAATCGTAGCGTTTGTGAATTCACAATTATGCTTAATTATGATTTTAAATGGGTTTAATATATCATGCAGCCTTGGAAAACAGACTAATAATGTGTTTTATACATTCTCGTCTGTGAAATGCGCCACTTCCGGTATTTTGCCGGTTAGTCGACGCAAGCAAAATGAAGTCGAGGATTTAAAAAAAATCGAATAGTCGAATAAAATCGACGAATCGCGACAGCCCTACAATAAAGACGCAAAAATACAACAGTTGGTGACCTCACATGTATATTTTCAACCCCGATTAACCCAAGACAGACAATCATCACTAAACATGACTGTGAGATGATATTACGTCAGTCTGTTGTGCTGAGCATCGAAGAAACGAAAGCTGAGACCTAGAGTCACAGAGCAAAGACAAGGAATCTAAAGAACTCAGTAATCTTCTTAATAAGCACCGGATCTAGCAGGAACATGTGATCCTGACAATACCCCCCCCAAACCCCCATCCGGCAGAAAAAATACCCTCCTGCCCCCTTTAATTCAGTGTCTTACCCATATCAGACTCAGAATGTTTGATGCATTCTGCAGTGTTGACAGATCTTAGATTGTATAATTCATTTAATCAGTTTCGCTCGACATTAATCATCCTCATGTCAGAAAGACTAAGGCTAAGGAGTAAGCTGGGAGTCAATTCCTACACTCAGCAAATGTCAAGGGCCTCATTGCTGCTCATCGCTTTTGCACTAGTAAACACAATGAGAAGCAAACCCACTTTTCTTAAATTCTCATCAAACGTTCCATAAAAATATCTCATTTGAGGATGAAACAAGAAAATGCCAGAAACACATCATGGTTGTAGGCAGCAAGTAATATTGAGTAATATAGATATAAACAAACCTATAATATGTAATAATAAATGGATCTTGGAATATATATATAAAAAAACATTTTGAAAATGTTAAATAAATAAATACATTAATTAATACATGCATACATACCCACTGTGAAACAGTATTATTGTGAAATATCACTACAGTTAAATAATAACTTTTCCATTTTAATATATTTTAAAATGTAATTTGTTCCTGTGATGCTGATTTGCTTTTTAAGAAACATTTCTTATTATTATCAATTTTGAAAACAGTTGTGCTGCTTTATATTTTAGTGGAAACCATGATACCCTTTTTCAGGATTCTTTGATGAATAAAAAGTTCACAAGAACAACATTTATTTGAAATAGAAATCTTATGTGTCAATGTAAAAATGTGTTTACTGCCACTTATGATCAATTTAATGTGTCCTTGCTGAACAAAAGTATTATTTTCTTTGAAAGGCAGCATTTATCTATCTGCCATTCAAAAGTTTGGGATCAGTAAGATTTTTAATGTTTGAAAGAAGTTTCTTATGCTTATCAAGGCTGCATTTATTTGATCAAAAATACAGAAAAAACAGTAACATTGTGTTTGATTTCTTTTAAATCAAAACATAAACAACGTATCCACGTGGCGCAGCTGACACAGAACAGCATACGCTGTTTGCATTCAGTCGATACTCTCCAAAGTGGTGCTAGGGTGACGCGGCGGAGACGAATTGTTGAATAAAGTCGTTATTTCTGTTTTCTTTGCGTACAAAAAGTATTCTCGTAGCTTCGTAAAATTACGGTTGAACCCCTGATGTCACATGGATTATTTTGCCGATCTCCTTGCTACGTTTCTGGACCTTGATCGTGTTAATTACATTGCTGTCTATGGGAGGGTCAGAGAGCTGTCAGAATACATCAAAAATATCTTAATTTGTGTTCCGAAGATGAACGGAGCTCTTACAGCTTTAGAACAACATGAGGGTGAGTAATTAATGACAGAATTTTCATTTTTTGGAGAACTATCCCTTCAAATTGCTTGAAAAGATTTCTATTTTGATCATATAAATTGAATATATATTTTGAATATATAAAAATAAATATATTTTTTCTTTTTAATATATCATAATATACTGAATAATAAAAATGTTAAGGTAATGCTTTTTTGGGGTTGGGCGAGGATGTTTTATCTTACAAAAGGCACCAGAATAAACAGATTTATGGTTTTCTCACCTCTAAAACACCAACTGAACCCCTGCACGTACCTCAAGTTGCTTTCGTCCATGCAGAGGATGTGATCAAAAGTCATGAAGTCGTCTTTGGTGACCTAACAAACAGAAAGACCATATGAGTAACGCGTGTAACACTTCATTCACATTGTCCAGCAGTGACCCGTTAAGCACGGGCCAGTGGTTTCGACCCACATACACCCCTCTTTCTCCATTTTCCTCTCTAATTCTTCCTGTCTTTCACCGAAAGAGGCAAATCTGCTGCCAAAAGAGCATGGCGCTGGCTTGGACAAGCTCCAGGGAACATGAGCAAAGGGCCAGAGAGCGAGTAGACGAGCCGTCTTTGTCTGTTCGAACATTCGCTCCCCTCACTCAAGACGCGGAATTAAGAAACGGATCAAAGCACATCTGTGGCTGCAAGTAAGTGTGTGCATATATTGAGCAAGAGCACATGATTCATTTGGGACGTTACTGCACAGACAGTCATAATAGAAATGTTTTCAATTTACAAAAACAACAAAGCGCAAAAACTGGAAATCACAAATGAGGGGGGTGGGAGACAAGAAACGCCTGCCTTGGCTAAACGTTTTTTTTCTTGTATATGGGGGCTGTGATTTGTGTGAGGTCAACGGGACAAAGATGTCTTTAGATTGAGCTCAGCTCTGTACAGCCTCGTATGAACCTGACCTCTAAAGGCCGAACTAAAGCCTGCCCACATGACTGGAATAACTGACTGACGGCTGGAAAATGTGGGTGGAAAGCACGCGAGTTAGGAGTTTCTCTAAGTCTGACAGTAATAGGCCAAACCATGTATATTTCAGGCAAGGTGATGCAGCGGCACAACTTAACATTTGACAAGTTTCAACGAAGCTATTGCATGTGCCACACAGGTTGGGATTTGCTTAAAAAACCAACAAGGAACAAAAGTGTTGAAAATCATCAAATAAGTGGTGTGGTAAAACAGGTTCATTTACTTCATGAAATAATGTTTTTAGACAAGCTGTACGAGTGCTATTGCTTGCTTTTTCATTATGATAATTTTTTCTATCATTCAGACTGTTTTGGAACAATATAATATAATATAATATACTGTTGAGCAGCTGAAGTCTCGTATCAAGTGAAACTGGGCAAAATCTGTTATTCTGCTCTATTTCCCACACAATGGCTTTATTGTTATCCAAATTAACTCTAGTGATATCTACACTTCTTTATATCCTAGAAAGCATATTGCTCTGAAAAAAAAAACAGCTGTAGATTTACGGCAGGGTCACCAGTGAATCAGTTGGCCAATGCTTATGCTTTTATATCATTATTACAATGTGTAGTGTTTTAGTATTGCATGTATAAGAGTAATGGTCAAACTGTAATGATTTCAATAACCACTAATGCAGCCTTGTCAGATTTGATGACCCAGCTCTATGTGTGCAGCTGTTCACATCAGACCAAAAGGATTTTTTCCAAGGAGATTAGACATCAGTGTGAATATGGATAACACTGAAGCCATTGTGTATGAAATAGAGGGGGTTATGGATTTCCGTAACCTCTAATGAGACCTTGTCAGATTTAGTGACCCTGCTGTATGTCTGTAGCTGTTCACATCAGAGGAAAGCGCTTTCTATGAAATAAAATAAGTTCAGACATCACCAGAGTGAATTTGGGTAACATTAAAGTTGTTTTATGTTTATTTACTGCAGTCACAATAATGTACTGGAAAAAAAAATAGATAGAAAAAAAGGTAATTGCAACATCTTAGAATTCTGAACTTTTTTTTATTGCGATTCCGAGTTTACATCTCAAATTCCAAGTTTACATTTTGCAATTCAGTTTTTTGGTTTCCGCCATGAAATTAAGATTACTGTGACATTTGTCTAAATTTTTTTTTAAACTTTTTTCTCATAACTGCGAGTTTATATCTTACAATTCTGACTTTTCGTCTCAAAATTCTGGCTTCTTCTCAGAAAAAAAGTCAGAATTGTGAGATACAAAGTAGCAAATACCTTTTTCCAAGCGTGTTCTCATATGCACATTTAATAAGCAGTGACCTCTAGTAATTCGGCACCCTTTCCCATTTTTGGGAACACTATTTTGAGTTAGGCTACTTTGTCTGTTCTTGTACTGTTGTTGTTGTTGTACTGTTCTTCACAAACTGATAGTATTTGTCACATACCTGACCAAATCAGTGTTTTGAGTGAATGATTCAATGACTCACTCATAAATAGAATCATTTGTCGCCACCTACTGGCATAACTATATAGTCTGCTAAAGAGTCACTACTAAAGGCACTTTAGCAGTGACAATAACTATAAAGTTTTAACATTTCTGAAAATAGGAAAATCCACACAACAGCTATAAGAAGCGACATAGTTGGAATGACTTTCCAGCTGATGAACGATAAAAAACATTTACAGCCAATCAGAATCCACCAACTTTAAAGTGCTTGAGCAATTAAACCTAAAGACAACATAACAGCAGTGGGCGCTCATGGCGAACAAAGTTAATATAGCTAATATAGTTATCGTTATAGTTAGCTATCCAACAGAATTTAACAAATAAAAAGAACAAAGAAAAAGCTGCTATGTTTGTTTGTGGGACAGTTACATTTCCTGTCCTGCACCAGTATGGCTTCCCTGGAAAGAAAGTTTGCTCCCTTAAAATTATGTATTTGTGATTTATGTGTGTGCTATGAAGGATACGTTGAAGATACATTGTGAAGCAACTGTTTTTTATCAAAATACAGAACATACACTATTTGGAAGCCAACTGAAAACAATAAACTCTGTGGAGAATTTTCCTCAGGAAATGTACAAGTAAGAGTTAGATGGAGAACAGGGGTCAACAGCAGATAGACAGTGGATGCCTGTCAAAATCGATTTATAGGCAAGAAGTTAAAAATACAGAAAAAGATCAAATGTCTATGGTGTGTGACAAAGATGAAGTGCCTTTGGCTGTAAATTGTGATTAGATAACGCTCACACAATCTTTCCTGCCAAAACTGCCTTTATTTGTGTATGTTTGAGGTTTCCATATGAGCGGCATTCACTGAAGTTCATGAAATTATGTTAAATGTCGTCTATATCGTACTGTACAACAATACTGTGCTGAAAGCTTCTTGCACTCATTCTGGAACACACAAAATCCCACATCTGCAGTACCTGTCGTGCCCTGTGATCTGTCTCTATGCTATGTTTCCTGAGGCAGGCCAGACCACAGGCATCAGGAGAGCTGCCGGTATTCCAATCTGAGGCGGCACCAGTCTATAACCCACTGTAACACACACACACAGAGAACACGGTTCTAGCTTCGAGTGCTAATCAGGACCCCACCGTACCTGCTGTGCCACGTGCCTCATAGACACGCCATGTCGCTTCATGCAGGCCTGGCCGCGGTGATCCGGGGGGTTTCCGATCTCATAGGTGGATGTGGCGGCACTGTCTATTCTCCACTGAAGACACACATACATAAAGCATTATGATGATCACAGCAATACACATAAATATTTATAAACACACACAAACAGATTTTTTTTTTTGAAGAAATTGGAACTATGTTACAATATAGCGGTTTGATACTGCCGCAAAAATGCAAATTAAGCATGTACAATGGGACCGTGTTGGCCAAGCATTCATATTTGAATATTTCTGGCCTTACAGTTTAAAGCTGGAATAAATCTGACACCATTTCTTTGTATTTTGGCTCATGAGGCTAAGGTTTTGACTTTTATTGTTCTTGTCAAACTTTTTGAACAGCAACATTTTTTTACGATTGCATCATGTGCAACCTCAGAAATATAAAATCTCCAAAAGAGCAAGCGTAACATGATCGTGATACTGATACTCAAAGGGTAGATGAGGTGCGAGGCTAAAGGTATTTCAAAATATTTATGAAGTGCTTTTGCACTGGAGTGCAGATGTCGCTTTGTTACATACCTGCTATAACACTTAATATTGACAAATTTCAAGACCAGCCAATTACTTTCGTCCAGAAGGTGATGCACAGTGCACTGAATTCACAATTCACTGAAGCACATGCTATTAGTTGTGAGTCTTAGTAAGCCGGGAGAAAATGCTAATGTAAACATCATTCAGTAAAAGTAGCATCGCATGCATCGACTTACCTTGTCCACCACCCCATTGTCTGTGGCCATTTTCCGGAAAACAGCCTCAGCAATTGGGGATCTGCAGATATTCCCTGGGTATTGAGGAAAGGGAAGAAATTTATTATTTTAGTAGACAAGGATTATATGACACATAATTATTCTGTCTAACTCTGAGTAAATGCCATATACACAAACATACACAATATCTAATTTTTTTTTTTAAAACTTGACAAACAACATAGCAAAGCACAATTGTTCTGTATATTTCAAGACAGATCTTATTATACTCTTATTTTTTCTTATTTGCTTTATACATTTTGTAAATGTATATACATAGTACACACCACCATCAGTATAAAATTGCTGATTTGGTGCTTAAGTATGATTTCTTATTATTATCAATGTTGAAAACAGTTGTGCCGATACATTTTTTATTTTATTTTATTTTTTGGAAAACTGCAATACATTTATTTGTTCATAATTGTTTGCTGAATAGAAACTTGAAAAGAACATAGACATAGATTTTTTTCACTGTAAGCATGACCTCAAACTTTTTAACAATAGTGTATATTTATACATTTTACACACTCTTATGATTATGGTTTTGTTGTTTTATTACATGCTGAAAACAACAAAACAAAACAAAAACTAATCCACAGGCAATAAAATATAACATCTTATGCAAAATGATATCAAAACATATCCTAATGCCATTATGAAAATAAGAAAGCTCTCGAAACTTGGTTAGTTTATCTGTTTAGCAATATGACTCAACTGAGGAAAGTGGGAAAAAGGCCAAACTGGTGCTTAGAGAATAAACATATGGATGAACAATGATGAAAAAATATATATATACAGTTTATAGTTTATGTCACTAAAGCCAATATTAACGCGATGTGTTTAATGTATCGGATGAGATATGCGTGTGATTGCAATATGCCGGTAAGTGAGCTCACGATGACAGCTTTCATTCACTGAATGAGGCCGGTGAAACAGCGAACACTGACTGAAACAATGACCGTTTCCTCCACCTGTAATGTTGACTTATCAGCAGCCCGTTTAAACATCACAATCAAATCAAAGAAGGTCTGGTGATATTTCATAAACTTTCTCACCCAAGCACACGAATAACACCGACCTTCCACTGGGAGTCGCCATATTGGTCACTATTATAGGTCCCCGAGCCACCACTGAGGGTTGTCCGATAAGCGCCTGTTCCAAATTCTTCTTCTTCTTCTTTGGAATTTTTGGCGTATTCCGCACCGTAGGCACATACCGCCACCAACTGTTTATATACATACATGGATGATAGTCCCGTTCCAAATTCAACAAGATAGCAGCTAGATTAAACAGGATTCAGCTAGAGTTTAAAGGCTGTGTTTGATTTTACTCGCATAAATAGGGCGAATTCCAAACGGCTTTTTTTGCGCCCTTGAAAGGTGTATAGGATTAGAGCTCTGCCACAATTCTGCGCGCGAAAGATCATATTTTGAGCACAAAAGTGCATTTTGCACGCGCACGATCTGAGTTTTGTGGAGAAAATGTTCGTTTCGCAAAGAAAAAAGTATTTCGAGCGCACTCAAATCAAGTTTGCATTTAAAATAAGTTTTTGGATGTGTGCAGTCCTTCTCTTCTTCTTCTTCTTCTTCTTCTTCTTCTTCTTTTTGTTCAATGGCAGTTCACAGTCCTCTTTTGCGCGTGCAACGTTTCACAACCCAGCCTTACAAAATGCCATAATTCCGGCCAATCAGAGACTAGGCTGCTAAATTCTGATTGGCTGCCTTGACAACCAATCACAACATTCCTTGCATTGCTGATGACAGCGGAAGAGGGAAAATACTGTACAGTGCATGCATAATTATTATGCAAGTTGATATTCTGATTATAATTTTTCCCAGGCACATTTTACCAATTTCAAACAACATCAGTCTTAATAACTGCTATTAATCTTGTATTTAATCACTTATAACCTATATATCATTGTTCATGAAGGCTGGAAGTGAAAAACGCCTTATATTCAGGTGTGCATAATTATTAAGCAGGTTATCTTCTACAGATAAAATCTCGAGATGGACTAAAAATGAACTCCCAAAACTTACTGCCAGATTCTGGAAGATAAATTACTCAAACAGTGGTACAAGAGGATGTGGTGCTGGTCCTTCAAGAGTCACTCTCAACTTATCTGTCTATAAAGCCTATATATATATAATATATATAAATCAGTTTTCAAGCATTTTACTACACTTCAGAATGTGGTTCTTATTAAGTAGGGGTAATTTTTTAGGATTCTATACTTAACCTAAGTCTCTGAGAACCTGACACCTTGTACTTCTGCATATTGATAGCGGCTCCCTGATGTGCGAAAATTATGGGGTTAAAGCAAAAGAAAATCTTTTGACTGAATTTTTCCTCAGCCAAACCCCATTCCACAGCCATACCCGTCACAC